CGTAAACTCAGTGGAATAAAAACACTTTTTGATAGGTTTTAAGGAGGAATTTTGAAGGAGATCCTCAAAGGGTATCTGAATATGATCTATAGAACGACGAGTATGTTTGTTGCACTAGCCTCAGCTCCTTCGATATCAATAAGAATTAAGTCGATTGGTGATTGAATATGAGCGTGATGCTTGATGAACTCTACGATGCCGATGTGTCGTATTGTTTCATTCTGATATCTTCCGCTACCATTATCTGAAGCGTTTCAGTTGAGTGTTTATCGAAATTCATTTGTGAACATCGCTAAAAATGTGACTCAAGTATAACTGTGCAAATACGGCCAACTAGTGTTGAAAGTTTTCTTCCTTCTTGAGCATATTGCATGCGATATGGCATTAAATGATGTCGCGATAAAGTTTCGTACGGCCAAACAAAATTTGATTAAAGCGCGATGTACTTTTGTGAAACCATACCATATGGTTTGAGAATTGAAACGATATGGGGAACGCAAAAGAATATTGTGCTTAACAGTAAACTTACAATTCATTAAAAACGATGTTCTATTGTGAGTTTTATCAGCAACGGCGATGGGAAAGAATTTCCCTCTGAGCCCTTCATATAAACGTCTGTTTTGTTCCTCAGATGGATCAACACCGTAAAACTGGCAATGCTCAGGTAGAATGTTTTTGAGTTTCCATTCAGAAGTAACATCGTGACCAATACCCAATGTCACAATATTGCACGGTTCATTGAACTGAAAATCCACAGTGAAATCGGATTTCACTCAAAATTCTTATTTTTCAGTGATGATCCCTCATTCAAGAAACGCTAAATTGTAGTGAAGAACTGGATCGTAATGGAATTATCGCGTTACACTTTGTGCTTTTATTGTTTCTGTAATTGAAACATTAAGTTTATACTTTCAATCGTTAAACTCACCTTTGGAGGATCAATTGGCCTTAGAAAGTATTTGATTTCATCAGTATTTTGCAGCGGATACAACGGAATTGTATCAGATATTTGTTCACAAAGCTGGATCACTTTCGTGAATTCGGTCCAATACTGAATTAAGCATTCGAAATGAAACATCTTTGCTATGGACGGTTCATGTTTCTCAACTTGTTATGTAGAGCAGATAAATGCTCTTTGATTCACCAAGATCAATTTCTGATCTTGGTGAATCAAAGAGCATTTATCATCAAAGTTGAAGATCACCAAGGTTAAGCATTACAATCAGGATATCACGTCAATGAGATAAATATTTCGATGGCATATGATGTCGCACAGTTCGCATGCTAGCTAACAATATTATTTTTACATGAATGCATAACATTCTTTGGAAGTTTTATGAGTGCTACTGATATAATGCTAAATTGTTACGATGGTTGAATTAAATGAAAATATTCATCACCTGATGAAGAGGTATAGACTTGAAATGGTCCGAAAGACATGCCATGAATGGATCGAAATAGCGAAGTGTCTTCTGAAGTTTGTCAATTGTTGTGCTTCGGAATAGATAACATCATGAAGTCAGCCCCAAAAATGGATCAGTTTGCTACACTAGCTGACCCTCACAAGCACATTCCATCGCTGATGATAATTTCTCAGGTTTGATCGATACTTTATCAGCGAATACCTTTCAAATCGTATGCTTAATTGCTGTTGAATCTTAGAGTGGATTTCTGAACGTCATGTCTTAACCCATTAGGAAGGATATCACACTCCTCTGCTGATTCTTTTTTCGATTTCGATTTATTTCCTCTAAATTATTGATGTTCTTTTGTTTCTCCTCCATCCTTTTGATTATCTGATGCAAGAATCATTAGTAATCATTTTAGGAAAACCTTTGAAA